TGATATACTTACAATAAATCTGAACATTAAGTTGTTTTGTTAGTTGTTTATTTAATACAGTATGTCTAACTGTACAGTTATAAGAACCAGTTTGATCTCTAGTACTAAGTGATAAAGGGTTATTTAGAATTGTTGTTGAACCATCCTTAGACCAGGTGATGTTACAATCTAGATTACAATCAGCTAAACAGTTGACATTCTGACTCTTTCCTTCTATAACATCTATATTATCACTAGTAGGGTTAAATATTATATTCTCTGGACCATCTGTAAAGATAGTTTGGCGGGTAAAGTATTATACGCCCACTGACAGCTTTGATTTTGAATAAAAATATTTGACAGTACAGTAACAATCAGTAGTATGAAATATTCAGTCAAACCTTCAGTCTTACATTTCCTTTGAACTTTGTCAAATCCGGCAAGAATCGTACATTGAGTGTTTACGAGCAATTGTGGACGGACGGACATGACTGACGCCAATATACGCCCCCAATTGCATGTGAGCGCATAAAAAAAAGTAAAACTTTATTTTGTGCAAATCACTTTTCAAAAAGATAATCCGACTTGTCTGGTTTGTCAACATTTCAATAAAACAGACTTGAGTATCTAAATCTGGGGGTGGCATCATTTTTTTTTTAATAAGATTTTTATATGTAAAGACGTTATTACTCATACATTATTAATGAAGATTGATCAGCTAACAGTAACAAATCCTATGTTTGAATTTCTGATGCCTATTTTGTAACAGGGTTCGCACAGCCTTGAAAAACCCTTGAATTCCGTCCGTTGCCTTGAAAAACCTTGATTTAAAAAAAGTCTTTGAAAACACCATAAAAAACCCATTTTCTCTTGAAAAGTCCTTGAATTTTGAGTTGGGTCAAATTGTGTATATTATTATCATTAACCCCATTGACAAATATTAACTATCTTTATTGATTTCACAGTTCAGAAGTTAGGTACATGTGTATTCTGTCAGACTAATATCCTTGAAAAGTCCTTGAATTTCAAAGCCCAGAGTCCTTGAAAAGTCTTTGAATTTTTGAGACAAAGTGCTGTATGAACCCTGTGTAATTAGTAATGCCTAATTTGAAACTTTTGAATACTTATTTCTTCAAATGTAGACTAAACTGAATACTTGTATAAAAAAAATCAACATTATTTTGTGCGCCAATTTGTAGTTTTAAACCGTAACAAGTAGAATTAAATCAATCTTTGTTGTACGAATTTTATATTTGTCTATTTAGGAATTAATTTGAAAAAATATGATTTGAAATAAGTTGTAATGAAAATAAACTTACAATAAACTGATACATTAGTTGATCCTTGTCCACCAGAATTACCATTACAAGACCATGTTGTATCATCTTGTTTATTTATATTACTTATATTGAGATATAGTTGTTTGTTGTTATTATTTATACATCCACATTTATATCTATTATCTGTAGAACTATTCTCACAGGTTGAAGACAATATACTACACAAAAAAACATTGTTTCTCTGAAATCTAACAAGACCAGATGAATCTGTAACATCACATTGTAATGTATAATTTTCACCTAACACTGCATAACTTTCAGGAACTCCTCTTAAAGTATATTGACCTGTAATATAAACATTATGATAAAAAATTTCTAGTTTTCATTCCATTTGATTTTGATATTAGCTCATAGAATTGTCGATGGTACAATATTTCAATCTCAGATTATTTCCATTAGTTAAGATAAAATTATTCCATCAGTTAATTCTGAATTCAACCATTTTATTTACCAACTATCGATCTGATCTAAGTTTTGGAACAAATCTTAAAAATACCATAAGCCATGGCTTAATAGAAACTTGATAATATGATAAATATTTCAGTTTGAACCTCTCAAAATAAAATTCTTACAGATTTGTTTGAATTTACAAAATATATAACTCGAAAAAGAAGGTAACTATTTGTATAAATATTCTATATCTTGAAAATATTGTGAAGGTAAAATTCAAATATCAATCATAAAGATAGGTCAAGTCAAAGATCACAGTGCGATTCATGTTATCTCATTATATTATTATATTATGCATTTAGTACAAGTTGAAGTGTAATATTTACTATTATTGTTATGTTATTTCATTCTACATAAAGACTTGTCTTATACATGAAACTGGTCTTATAGATGTTTTATATGAGAAAATATACGATTTAAATACACCCCTTACCTGTAATTAGTACTGGTAAATAAACTATAACTATTAATTTCAATATATATTTAAACTCCATGTTATTGATCAATATTCAACAAGACGATCTTCTCTTCTCATATATTTGGTCTACTAGTGTATAGCATTTTATTACATGGCTCTAATTTACTTCCTCTTTTTACATGAAAACTCCTATATATCATGTATTATATTATTGTTTAACATGACATACTACTGTATTTTAGCAAGTTTAGATGGTAAGCATGTCAATAGAGGTGATCGTGAGAAACACTAAAATCTCGGTTACAAACTTTTTATACAAACAGTACCCCTATAAATTATATTATATACTATCTCCTGTATCCTTACTACAGAATAACTCAAGAGCTCAACAACAGAGTCCAGTCGGTAATTCAAGACACCTACCAAAATCCTAAAATTGTTTGGTAAATTTGACAAAAGGTTTTGTTTTCACTAAAATATTAGGTTAAAATAGGTTTCGCATTTACTTCTCTGGTGCCCCTTGGTTGCTTCTAGCCTAGCTACATCAAAGCTTGAACAACACAAAAAGCCGGTAAGATCACCTTCCGATGCCACCAACCAATAAAGCGTCACACCGTCGACGACCATTATATCCGCTACCAAACCGTATTATCACCAAACCAAGGACAAATCATTATGGAAACTACCTGCTCTAAAGAAATCAACCTTAATAAATTGGATCATCTAACCTGAATCGAATTACCAAAACCAGTTCGGACACCGAAATACATTCTTACCCCGGTGCCCAAATCCATCACATACAATCAATCCTGGAATCATACGACCATGATCCCAAACCTACTACCATTATTCTTCATGTAGGCCTCAACAACCGTGATCAGATACCAAAGACCTCCTTTAACCAAGCCCAGAAATTAATCGCCACAGCCAACAAAACCTTCCCAAACTCCAAGATCCTCTTCACATGTATACCCATTTCAAATAAAATCTCGAAGAAAGCACAACAGAACCTCAGCACCCTCAACAACATGATGATGGAGTCCAGTATCAACAGCGCAACAATCTTACCACCCTACGAAGAAGAATTCGAAACAGTTGATAATCTTCATTGGTCTCCAGAAACAGCAAACGTTTTGGATACACCANGCTTCAAGCATCGAGTAAGTCTTTAAACTAATTACCGGGGATAAAAATACTGAGAGGCCACCGCTAGGCCAAACTGTAGTTAACTTGAGCCGCAAAATTCTCACACCCCTTCAGCATTCAATCTTAGACCGTGGACTTAAGTTTATTCCCACACCAAAGATAGCTAACTTGAATTATCTCCGACCATCCATTGAACGATTTCAACGAAATCTTAGCTGCACATATTTTTTTCGAAACCACCCCCCACGTGGTGCTAGAACAATGTTTATTCCTAAATCCACGTGGACACCCCCTCAGGCCGCCATCCATCCTGAAATATTGAAAGCATTTGCTAGTATGAATAGCCAAACAGTGAACCTTTCCATAACACACGAAAAGCCTAATCTCACACGAGTGGAACGTGAAGCGTTAAACTTACTTAAGAAAGACGATAGCATTGTTATTAAAAAGAGTGACAAAGGTTCATGTTGTGTCATTCTGAATAGGGAGGATTACGTTTCAGAAGCAGAGAATCAACTGAATAATCCTAAACATTATGCCATTTTACCGAAACCAATTTTCAAAGAAACTGCTAACATGATTAATAATATTCTTGCCGATTTAGTCAAAACTAGTTATCTCAAACAGAAACAATATGACTATCTGTCTGCCAAACCTGATTGTCGCGAGAGACATTTGTACACTTTGCCTAAAATCCATAAGAATCCCACTAAGGAGTGGTTTATCTCGAATAAAATCCCTAAAGGCCGCCCGATTATATCTGACTGTGGTAGTGAGTCATATGCAGTGTCAGAATACATTGATCATTTCTTACTACCTCTAGCATGCCAACATCGCGCCTACCTTAAAGACACAACCGATTTTGTCAATAAAATAAAAAATCTTCGAGTTCCCTCTAATGCTATTTTAATTTCTATCGACGTTTCTTCTATGTATACCAATATCGATAACACTACTGGTTTAACGACAGTTCGTAAAGCTTTTAATAGAAACCCAGATCCAAACAGACCCGACGATGCAATTCTACAGCTTTTAGAGATTTGTCTTAGTCGAAACGATTTCACATTTAATGGTAAAACATATTTACAAACTTCAGGGACAGCAATGGGCAAACGATTCGCCCCTTCGTACGCATACCTTTTCATGGCAGAGTGGGAACGTGAGGTGTTGCCCCTCTGCCCACTTTTTTACGGACGCTTTTCGGATGACATTTTTATGGTTTGGACTTATTCTTTCGAACAGTTTTGGGAATTCTTTGAAATTCTCAACAACCACCATCCTTCTATCAAACTAACCGCAAACGTGAGTGACAAAAGCATAGACTTTCTCGATACCACAGTCTTTAAGGGAGATTCCATAGCAGAAACAAATAAACTGGATATTAAAGTGTATTTCAAAGAAACTGATACTCATCAACTCTTGCACAAGAGCTCCTTTCACCCAAAACATACCTTTTCTGGTATAATTAAGTCACAAGTTTTACGATTTCATCGAATTTGTACAAGATCTTCTGATTTCAACCAAGCCTGTACGATTGTTTTCTCAAAACTGAAAGAGCGTGGGTACTCTAAACGATTTTTACGAAACATAAAAAATTCCACCTTAGCACAGATAGCAGCTAAAAACAGACTTTATGCCGAAGTACCTCCAGGTTTAAGAAGTGCTCCATGTTTGTCCAGTAGATGCAAAACATGTCCCTTTATATCAGAAACTCATTATTTTGTAAGCAACTCTACGAATAAAAGGTACTCGATCCAGGAACATCTAACATGTGAACATTCGAATGTAATATATTTAATTTCATGCAAGAAATGCCCAAAACAATATGTAGGAGAAACTAAGAATAATTTACGAACTCGCTTTAATGCTCATAGGTCAGACATCAAATTAAAGAAAGACAAGCCTGTTTCTAATCATTTCAACCTCGACGACCATTCAATAGACGATCTCACCCTAATCCCAATTGAGCGTATAGAAATTGACTTGCCCGAAGATGAAACTACCAAATTCCGTCAATCTAGGGAGGCCCATTGGATTGAGACATTGAATACAGCAAGACCTATAGGACTAAATATTCATCATAATGTAGGCATAGCACCCTTTGTTGTCCCGTTTAATACAACCAGCAATCGAGCAAGCAAGATAGTTCATGCCCACTATAAGAGCCTTCAAGAGAAATTCCCCCATGTCTATAAGCAGAAAATGATAGTTGCATATTCAAAAAATAAGAACTTAAATGATAATATTGTTCATACTAAACTAAAAACAATCAGTACACAACAGATACTATACTTCTCGCCCATCGGGCGAGTTATTTTTTCTAATTTCAGATCAGAATAAGAACAGAAGAAAACCCAATATCAAGACCCTTAATCCTAATTTCTAAATAAAGTGTCTGCTCCACCCTAGGCCTGTACATTTGGGAGAATCAAACCCTCCCTTCCCCGAAATATAATTAATATATATATATACAAGGAGAAATATCATGGATATGATGAAAAGAGTTATTACAAAATTATCAAAGTGAATTTTATGATGAAAAAACAAAAAAGAATATGAAATGAATTTTTCCAAAATTTAATTTGAACTATGCACCAGCTTCTTCTTAAGTCAACCTTTAGAACGGCATAATTCAGAAGACAATTTAAGAGATTGGGGTAATGAATTCCAAAGTGAACTTGCCCTTTATTTAAACGTTCTTTTCCCTGCTTCCAGACGGCATTTTGGAATAGGCAAAATAATTTTCTAAACAGATGTTACAGTATGTTATATTTAAGTTCTTCTTATATTTTCATATTCTTTTACATCTCCAGAATTATGTTGATTGTTATCATTAACTTCAGGACGGGTATTTAAATCTTCATATGTTCTATCTGTAGGGAAGAAAAGCGTGCATAGTAACTAATAATTTAGAATAAAAATTACAATCTATGGGCTTTGAAATTCTGCGACTCTCGGCTCTTTTCAACGTAAAGCGGCATCGCAACTTGCGCGATGAACCGTTATGAGTATAGTATTGATAGTCATACTGAATGTGTAAATTGTGATAAATTCATCATAATATGTAATAATATACCTTCTGGAATTCTATTAGAAAACGTTGCATAACTGAAAAATAAGAATATGTAAAATGAGCAAATATGTTTTTATCAGTTTTGACCAAAACGTCATTTTGATATAAGGATTTAAACTTCTGTACTCAACCAAACCAGTCTGCAGTTGAAATTGTATGAAAGACTGAATAGGTTATTTATTTATTAATTTATTTTCAATTTAATAGGTAAATTGAATAGAAATTCCAGATCAGGAGAGAAAACATAACTTACCTTTCTTCTGGTAATTTCTTATTGGCTACAAAATACAATAATACAAAATTGGATTATGTTTATATTGAAGCAGAATAAGAATTTGTTATGCCAACTGACAAGACTCAATTTTAACTATCCCAAATACTTTTCAGAATTGAAATACGACACCCAATTCACTTACAATTAAATAAAACGTTCTTTAGAAGTTCAAACATTTGTCGCTTTCGTGAAAGTATTGCCATTAACCTTGTAGTATCAGTAATTAAGCCCTGATTATAATTGGTTATAATTGCACGCGAGAATGTAAATGGTTGTCAAATGCCACAATTCTGACAGAATGTAGGAGAAGGTTAAGTCAGATTGTAATTCCGATAAGAGACAAGGGTAGGCCTAACTGAAATTGACTTTCTCTCTTAAATGTTATGATAAAATGATCCTCAAGAGAATTTCTTTTTTTTTTAAAGATCCCCAAATATTTATAATAATTATGATCAATACCTGGATAATATTTTCTATATATAAATATTGTCAGTAAAACCAGAATTACAATAACAGCAGATATCCCAATACCAATTCCAATACCAGTTCCTAAACCTTCCTGATATCCAGATTGTTCACGAGGATCCACTTTTGTTACAGGATCTGTGGAAATAGCAGATTTTATTCATCAAATTTGACTTATACCTAAATTTAATTTAGCAAAACATTCAACTGATATATTTTCCCAATACACTCAACTGATAAATCTACCTCATACAATTAACTGATAAAGTTACCTGATACATTCATCGGATTAATTTACCCAAAACATTCAACTATTATAAATATCGAAAACATTGACCTGATAAATTTACTCAACACATTCAAATGATATATTTACCGAATATTTCCAACTGATAAATTTACCCAATATATTCAACTGATAAATTTACCCAATATTTCCAACTGATAAATTTACCCAATATTTCCAACTGATAAATTTACCCAATATATTCAACTGATAAATTTACCAAATATTTCCAACTGATAAATTTACCCAATATTTCCAACTGATAAATTTACCCAATATATTCAACTGATAAATTTACTCAATACTTTTAACTTATAGATTTACATTAATCTGATAAATTTACCTAAAACCTTGACTTAATTCGACGTAAAACTGATTTTCCTCCCATAAAAGTTTGCGTTTAAGTAACTTACCACCATCAATAATCTTTATAGTGTAACTTTTATCACCACCTATACTATTATTAACAGTTACAATGTAGTTATCAAATGATGATTGTTGTATTGTGACTGTTAAACTTGAAATATAATTATTGGTAGCTACTTGTTGAGTTGTATCTGGTGTTAATTCTTGTCTTGTTGATTCTTGTATCCATTTAAAACGAGGTTTAGGATAGGCTATAACATCAATAAGTAATGTAACTTCTTCACCTAATCTATTCGTTACTTCATCTTTTAAATCACCATTAAGTCTTGGTGAACCTAAAACAAAACCTTGTGGCATCAATTAAATTACTTAACATATACTTACATCTAATATTTAATGGTAAAGATGTAGTAGTTGACTGACCAATACTATTGTTAGCTGTACATGTATAGATTATAGTACACTGACTAAATATAACTTACATCTAATATTCAATGGTAAGGATTTAGTAGTTGACTGACCAACACCATTATTAGCTGTACATGTATAGATTCCTGTATCCTGACATTTAGCTTGAAGTAATGTCCACTGTTGACCAGTGTTAGTACCAGTACTAGTTGAAGATGACCAGGTTATAGTAGATACTGGTTTACTATCAACATTACAGTTAAATATAACATCAGAACCTTCATCAGTTTCGTTATTTACAGCATTAGATGTTATACTGGTTATATATGGTGGATCTGAAACAGAAGTACAGCAATTAATGCTCTTTAACACAATCAGTATTTTATATGCCCATACAGCATACAATTTCCATTAGTCTGTTAATATCAAATTAAGCTGACTTGTAGGCTTCAATTATTGTAAATTCCTTTCATTCTTATTTGTAGGTTTAGGCCGTGCCAAGGATGATGCCGATAGATTTTCGTGATGGTTACACATATCAACTGTTAGCATAAGATTTTCCAGATTTTTTAGTGATTTAAAAACTGTGATTGTCTAAAAGGACTGAAAAACATCACAAGTTTAGTATTACAGCAATATCTTTTGAAAAATATCGATTAAGAATTTTGCATTTATTTAAAGTAGCTTTTCAGACTAGCATTATAACCCCGTTTCTTATCATCAGAAAATGCTAATTTTTTTTATTTTATGATTACACATGCACATAGAGAGGCGGATAATAAATTATATACTTACAATGTACATTAACTTGTACAAATTTAGATCTTGTTTTAGGGATGGTATCTTTAATATTGGTAGCTTCACATGTATAGTTTCCTTCCTGATTTCTTTTTATTTGAGTCAATACATGATCTTTAGTTGATGATGAAACAGGTCCAGTCCATTTATAATTACATTGGTAACAATCAGTTAAACATGTTATAGTTTGATCTCCACCTTCTATTATATTGATACTTGTTCCATCTGGCGAGAAAGTAAGTTCATCAGGACCATCTGAAATAATAACAATCAGTTAAACATGTTATAGTTTGATCTCTACCTTCTATTATATTGACACTTATTACATCTGGTGAGAAAGTAAGTTCATCAGGACCATCTGAAATAATAACATTCAGTTAAAAATGTTATAGTATTATATACTTACAATAAATCTGAACATTAAGTTGTTTTGTAAGTTGTTTATTTAATACAGTATGTTTAACTGTACAGTTATAAGAACCAGTTTGATATCTAGTACTAAGTGATAAAGTGTTATTTAGAATTGTCGTTGAACCATCTTTAGACCAGGTGATGTTACAATCTGGTTTACAATCAGCTAAACAGTTGACACTCTGACTCTTTCCTTCTATAACATCTATATTATCACTAGTAGGGTTAAATATTATATTCTCCGGACCATCTGTAAAAATCACTTAAACTTTTTTATTGTTATTTTATCGATTGAATTTAACCAAATAACGATGCTCATAAGATGAGAAAGGACATTTTTTTTTGCTTCACAGAAAAAGTTTGTATTGTCCTGCCAGTTTGACTTGAGAATGATAATCTGAAAGATACAATGAGATGAAAATAAACTTACAATAAACTGGTACATTAGTTACTCCTTGTCCACCAGAATTACCTCTACAAGACCATGTTGTATCATCTTGTTTATTTATATTACTTATATTGAGATATAGTTGTTTGTTGTTATTATTTATACATCCACATTTATATCTATTATCTGTTGATTGACCATTACAGCTTTGAGAGAATATATTACATACAGCAACATTGTTTCTGGGGAAATCTACAAGACTAGGTGAATCTGTAACAGTACATTGTAATGCATAATTTTCACCTAACACTGCATAACTTTCAGGAACCCCTCTTAAAGTATATTGACCTGTAATATAAACAATGTGATAATCAATCAACTTCTAGTTATTGTTACCTTTTATATTAAAATAATAATTTCAAATCACAAAATTATCTTTGGTTGACTATATGAAACTTTACAGTAGGTTAGATAAAATCATTCCACCAATAAATTCTGAATTCAATCATTTTATCAACTAACTATCAATCTAAATTTTGGACCAAATCTTTGAGATATAAAATACTGTAAGCCAGCCAACATTACATTCTTATTTTGATGAATATTTTAGTATGAACCAATCTATATACCCCTCAATATAAAATCATGATATATTTTTTTCATATTGGGATATAATATCTACAACGCGGAAAAGAAAGCAACTATTATACCTATCACTTGGATTTGTCCATCTACCAATATAAAAATTCTATAATTAAGAAATATTGTGATGGTGAAAGTCAAATATCTATCATAAAGTCAGGTCAAGTATGATTCACAGTGCGATTCATGTTATATCATTATATCATTATATATGCATTTAGTTCGGGTTAAAGTCTACTATTTACTATTATCTTTATGTCATTTCATTCTAAATAATTATAGACTTGTCTTATACATGAAACGCATTATATCATAAAAAATACAATGTAAATACATCTCTTACCTGTAATTAGTACTGGCAAATAAAATAGAAGTATTAATGTATATTTATATTCCATGTTATTGAATAATATTTAACAAGACGATCTTCTCTTGTCATATATTTGGTCTACTAGTCAATAGTATTTTATTACAAAGATCTAATTTACTTCCTCTTTTAAACGTAAGGACACCTATACATGTTATATATTATTGGATAACATGACCTAAATACATAGTACAATATTTTAGCAATACCTAGATGGTATCACGTCAGAGAGGGCTCTCTTGAGAAACTGGATTCTCGGTTATCAACTTTTTGGACTCAATACCTCTATGTCATGTTATATATTATTGTTTAACATGACCTAGATACATATTACTGTATTTAAGCAATGTTTAGATGGTAATCGCGTTCTCGTGAGAATCACTGGAATCTCGGTTACAAAATTGTGGACACTATATTATTAACTGTATTATATACCATCTGCTGGTATCCTTACTAAAGAATAACCCAAGAGCTCAAAAACAGAGTACAGTCGTTAATTCAAGACAACTACCAAAATCCTAAAATTGTTTGTCAACTTGACAAAAGGTTTTGTTATCACTAAAATATTACGTTAAAATATGTTACGCATTTACTTCTCTGGTGCCCCTTAGGTGCTTCTAGCCTAGCTACATCAAAGCTGGAACAACACAAAAAGACCGAGAAGATCACCTTCCGGTGCCACAAGCCAATAGAGCGGTTGATCAGAGTCAACCAACAAGTAGATGGTCATTTTCGCTTCGACCTTCGATTAAATAGAAGGCTCAAAAGGTGCGTTTAACCTTAAGAAAAAAAAAACAGCAATATAAATATATTAATAAAACAGTTGGCAAAGTATATTATACATAATTAATAATAGAGAGAAATGTTTTAATTTAAAAATGTCATATATTTATTCAAAACATACATTACTGTATCAGATATTACAGTCTGTTATATTTAATGTGTTAGTATTGAATATTACTAGTACTGTATCAGATATTACAGTCTGTTATAATTAATGTGTTAGTATTGGATATTACTAGTACTGTATCGGATATTACAGTCTGTTATATTTAATGTGTTAGTATTGGATATTACTAGTACTGTATCAGATATTACAGTCTGTTATAATTAATGTGTTAGTATTGGATATTACTAGTACTGTATCAGATATTACAGTCTGTTATATTTAATATGTTAGTATTGGATATTACTATTACTGTATCAGATATTACAGTCTGTTATATTTAATATGTTAGTATTGGATATTACTATTACTGTATCAGATATTTCAGTCTGTTATATTTAATGGGTGATTATTGGATATTAATAGTACTGTATCAGATATTTCAGTCTGTTATATTTAATATGTTAGTATTCGATATTACTATTACTGTATCAGATATTACAGTCTGTTATATTTAATGTGTTAGTATTGGATATTACGATTACTGTATCAGATATTACAGTCTGTTATATTTAATGTGTTAGTATTGGATATTACTAGTTCTGTATCAGATATTATAGTCTGTTATATTTAATGTGTTACTATTAGACATTATTAGTACTGTGTCAGATAATACAGTCCGTTATCTTTAACGGGTTATTATTGGATATTACTGCACCAGATGTTTCAGTCTGTTATATTTAATTTCTTCTCATATTTTCATATTCTTTTGCATCTCCAGAATGTTGATTGTTTTCATTAACTTCAGGACGGGTATTTAAATCTTCATATGTTCTCTCTGTTGGGAAGAAAAGAGTGCATAATAACTAATAATTTAGAATAAAAATTAAATTTTTGGGCTTTACATTCGGAAACTCTCAGTTGTTTCCGTCGTAAATCTGAAGAGCGCTATGGACCGTTTTGGGTATAGCACTGATAGTTATACTGTAATGATATGTTATTAATGTGTGATAAATTCATGTTAACATGTGATAATTTACCTTCCGGATTTGTATTTGAAAACGTTGCATAACTGAAAAGTAAGAATGAACAAATATGTTTTTATCAGTTTTGACCATAACTTCTCAAAAAAACAAAAAACAATTTGATATAAGGATACAAATTTCTGAACTGAACCAGTCTGTAGTTGACAATGTTACTATATAATGACTTTGATTTCGACAAGAGCATCATCATCAGCATAGCTTTACAGATTAAACATGTTTATTTTACCTATAGTAGGTCTAATGGAATAGAAGTTCCAGATCAGGAAAGAAAATATAACTCACCTTTCTTCTGGTAATTTCTTATTGGCTATAAAATAAAATAATATAAAATTAGATTAAGTCTATATTGAAAGCAGTGTAAGAATTTGTTATACCAACTGACAAGACTAAATTACAACTAATCATATGACTTTCCAGAAATGAAATAAGTATTGACATTGACAATATAGTGTTACTAATAAAGCTCTGATATCTGTAATAATTTCACGCGAGATTATAAATGGTTGTCAAAGTCATGTTATGATCCTCAAAAGAACATTTCTGTTTTTAAGATCCCCCAAATATTTATAATAAGTACAGTATAACCAATACCTGGATGATATTTTCTATATATAAATATTGTCAGTAAAACAAGGAATACACAAACAAGAGATATTCCAATACCAATTCCAATACCAATTCCAATACCAGTGGCTAAACCTTCCTGATATCCAGATTGTTCAACAGAAACCGGTTTTGTTTCAGGATCTGTAGAATACATTAAATAAATATGACTTACCGGTATATTAAGTTACCAAAACATTTAACTGACATATTTACCTAATACATTCAACTGATAAATTTACTAATATTCCAAAAGTATTCAAAAAACCAGGATTAAATTCGACATATAAATCCATTCCGTGCAATCAAACTTGAATTCGACTTTTTAAGAACTTACCACCATCAATAATCTTTATAGTATAACTTTTATCACCACCTATACCATTATTAACAGTTACAATGTAGTTATCAAATGATGATTGTTGTATTGTGACTGTTAAACTTGAAATATAATTATTGGTAGCTACTTGTTGAGTTGTATCTGGTGTTAATTCTAGTCCTGTTGATTCTTGTATCCATTTAAAACTAGGTTTAGGATAGGCTATAACATCAATAAGTAATGTAACTTCTTCACCTAGTCCATTTATTACTTCATCTTTTAAATCACCATTAATTCTTGGTGAACCTAAAACAAATTCCTTATTATCTGATATTTAATAGTAAAAGTTTAGTAGTTGACTAACCATTACCATCATTATCATGTATGTGTATTAGTATAAGCCTGCGCTTCCATGTTTTGTGTTACTTGGTTTACTCTGGGAAGATCTTTCTGTTGTTCATACCTTGACAACTTTTTCGTCTGTTACTGAGTTTCTGTGTGGAGTCATGAGGTCACCAAAGTTGGCTCGTCTCGCTCACATATGTATATATTATAGTATACTATTTAATGTGGACGGTTTAGTAGTTGCCTGAATTATACCATTATTAGCTGTTTATGTATATATTATAGTATACTGACTAATTGATATCAACTTACATCTAAATGAAACGAAATAAATACTTTTCTGCACCACGTGCGGAGACTTACATCTAATAATAGCAAGGATTTAGTAGATGTCCTACCAAAACTATTAGCTGTATACTGACTAAATTAGTAGTTGACTGACCAATGCCATTATTAGTTGTACATGTATAGATTATAGTATACTGACTAAATATAAACTTACATCTAATAATTAATGGTAAGGATTTAGTAGTTGATTGACCAATACCATTATTAGCTGTACAAGTATAGATTCCTGTATCCTGACATTTAGCTTGAGTTAATGTCCACTGTTGACCAGACTGAGTGTTAGTATTAGTACTAGTAGAAGATGACCAGGTTATAGTAGATACTGGTTTACTATCAACATTACAGTTGAATATAACATCAGAACCTTCATCAGCTGTGTTATTTACAACATCAGATGTTATACTGGTAATATCAGGTGGATCTGAAACAAAAATTCTTTATATGTCCACACTGTTTGAGCTGTTTTTTGACAGATTCTCTTCATTTGAACCATCTGTAAAACAAAATCGTACTTTGATAATCATGTTAACTTGAAACATATATTCGTATTTCTTTTTAGACGTCCGGTTTGTCTAAATTTGATTAAAAAATATGAGATGTTTTATCTGTTTTCTCCCATACACGCTATCATTTCAATAGTAAAGACGTTATTACTGTTATTGAAGATGGATCAGCTAAAAAATCCTATGTTCTTAATAGTCAACATTATTTTGTTCGCCCAAATCTAAATTTGATGTATTGAAACTGGCACAAGTACAATAAAACTAGTAGAACTTACTTGATTGTATCATGAATTTAACATTTATCTTAGAACGACCCATCAAAGACTATGTAAATGTAACGAATAAAATATATGTAAGAGTTGTGTTTTATTTGAAATAAATTGTAATGAAATGAATCAACTTACAATAAACTGGTACAGAAGTTGACCCTTGTCTACCAGAACTACCTCTACAAGACCATGTTGTACCATCTTGTTTATTTATATTACTTATATTGAGATATAGTTGTTTGTTGTTATTATTTATACATCCACATTTATATCTATTATCTGAACTACTCCCACAGTTTATCATATTACATACAACAATATTGTTTCTACGGAAATCTACAAGACTAGGTGAATCTGTAACATCACATTGTAATGTATAATTTTCACCTAACACTGCATAACTTCCAGGAACTCCTCTCATAGTATATTGACCTGTAATATAAACAATATGATAATCAAACAACTTAGTTTTTATTCCATTTGATTTTGATTTCAGCACACAAAACTGTCGTTGGTACACTATTTCAATCTAAGATTATTTACATTAGTTTAGATAAAATTATTCCACCAGTAAATTCTGAATTTAACTATTTTATCAACCCACAGTCAATCTATGTTTTCGACCAAACCTCGATATCATGATGAATATTTCAGTTTGAACCAATTATTCTACCTCTCAATATAGAATACTTACAGATCTGCTTGAATTGACAAAACATACAACACGAAAAAGAAGTTCACTATTTATATAAAGATTCTATATCGTTAAAATATTGTGAAGGTAAAAGTTAAATATCAATCATAAAGATAGGTCAAGTCAAAGATCACAGTGCGATTCATGTTATCTTATTATATATGCATTTAGTGCAGGTTAAAGTGTAATATTTACTATTATTGTTATGTCATTTCACACTACATAAAAACTTGTCTTATACATGAAACTGGTCTTATTGATGTATTATATGAAAAATATACAATATAAATACATCTCTTACCTGTAATTAGTACTGGTAAATAAACTATAACTATTAATATTAATATATATTTATACTCCATGTTATTGAATAATATTCAACAAGACGATCTTCTCTTCTCAAACATTAGGTCTACTAGTGCATTCTGTTTTATTATAAGGCTTTAATTTACTTGTACACTTACCCATTTAAATACCTTTATATCATGCTATATATTATTGTTTGACCTAGATACATACTACTATATTTAGCGATGTCTAAATGGTAATCACGTCAAAGAGGGTTCTCTTGAGAAACACTAGAATCTCGGTTACCAACTCTAAGATGGTTATCTTCGCTTCTACGTCCGATCAAAATGTACGTTAAACTTGAAAAGGCACTATGAAAATTTTTTGTACCATTACGATTCGTATTTCCGATTTGTTCTGTTTATTTTGATTGACAGACATCACTCTCACAATTGTGATATTATAATTTAATGTTCAAGCAATCCACTTTATTTTTGGGTAGAATAAATAGATACCACAAAAGGCAGACTTACAGACTTATTGTGTTCATAACTACTTACACTACCTCAAAATATAGTGGACTCTTTGTGTTTATACTTTAAACCTCTGTGTTATTCATTTTGTGTTGAGAAGATGCGCAAGAGGTGCTCTCTTATTTCATATGCGGAAACCATATCTTGGAACATCTTTAACCCTTTTATGAGCTAATCCTAATTGGTTTTTCAAAACTACCCAAGGGTTAACCCCCTCTAACCCTAGGTCTCGGTGTCCTAGTGGTTTGAGAACTTGAGTGGCAACTTTGAGATGCCGCGATAGAGTCCCAGTTGAAGCTTTTTTTTAATTCTTTTTTTGCTAAGTCAAACACCGCCTTTTTATCATTTTAAGTATACAAAAGAACTCTGTGAAATCTAGAATGGCCAAACTCTAGCTAATCAAATCGTCCACTTTAATCCCTTTGGAACCACTGGGGTATAAATTGTTTCGGGCCGATTTAAACCCCTGTGTTATTCTTTTTTCTGGATCATTTTGTGTTGAGAAGATGCTCAACGAAGGGCTCTTTCATTTCATATGCGGAAACCATATCTGGAACAAACTTGACTCAAA